GCCTACTTCTTCCCCACCTGATTCTTCTGATGTGGGTGGGGCAAGGCTCCATTTTGGGGCTCTGTTAGGAGAGTGATGGTGGCTACTTTCACTTTCAGGTTCCCCTAAAATGGCTGAGAAGGCGGGAACATCTAGCTCCCAAGGCACAGAGAGTCTTAACCCTTCACAGACTACCAGTATAGTCTCTCAAAATACTGAGCCCTCAGGAGAGGAAGCCCAGTCAAATTTCTCTCCTGGCTTAGAGAGGAAATGAGAAAGAATTCACTGGTCTAGGGCAACAGGCAGCTTCTTCCTAGGCTACTGTCCTCTCTGCTAAAAGAGACAGGAGTCCCAGTACAGAGGGCAGTAGAAATACAGGCCTCCCAAGCATAGTGCCAGAAAAAAGGTGAACTATTAGAGCAGGAGAAAGAAAAGGGTGCCTGTCATTCAATCTAGACTCTTGCTCCTAATCTCTATAATAGAATATGGGCTAAGGTCATGAGGGCACTAGAGTTTACATACTCTCCAAAGATACAGGAAGACAAGGAGGATCCTGGGTTCTTTCCTGTAGGCTCTGACAAAGCCATTTCCAAGTGTGCCGCTTCCTGTGGCATTATATAATATCATTATGGCAGAATGGGAACACCCAGCCAATCCAAAGTCTGGGAAACCCAGTGTTTAATAAACTCTGCTCTCTTATTCCAGGAGCCACAAAGAAGTTCAAACTTCCTATGGTGGATGATTCAATTAACTTATCAGCATCTACTTCTCTATTTCCCGTGGACGCTGATGGACTCCCAAAAAAGACTTCTCTGTTTCCCGTGGATGCTGATGGACTCCCAAAAAAGACAAGGGAGTTGCAAAGGCACTGCGTAGAGTTTTTTTGAGGCGCTTGCCATCTCCCTTAGAGTATCAGCTATGGGATCCCTGTTTGCTCAAGTGGCCTACCTGTGGGCCTCAGAGCTAACTTCTGTAGACAGTGACATACCAAAGAGCCTTAAGGATGAGCTAAAACAGATAGCTCTAGCCACAGCATTTGTGGCAGAAGCCTCTTTGGATATCATACAACTCAAAGCGAAAGCTATGGCATGTCATGCAACAGCCAGGAGAAATACATGGCTGGGGCACTGGAATGCAGATCCAGCAACAAGGACGAAGGTGGTAGTGGTATCCCTCAAGGGAGTTAACCTTTTCAGAGCAGGCCTGGAACATTACTTGGTGAAAGACAAAGGCAAGTCATGGGTGCTACCATCAAAGAAGAAGGATATGAATTCTAGAAGGAGACCACGATCTTTTTGAGACCTCAGTCGTGATGATAAACAACAAATGGAAGATATAGACGCAAGAGGATAGCTTTCTCTGGGCAGTGGAACCAGGCTGTGTCGGACAAGTGGTTCCTGGAGACGCTGGCTACGCACTAGAGTTCAAAAGTGTTCCAAGCAACATTTCTTGGAGATCTCAAGGGAAAGATCACCAGGAAAAACACAAGATGATGTTACAGTCCATCTAACATCTGTTGGACATTGGAGTGATAGAGATGGTGCCCTACCAGAGAGGTCGCTAGGAATTTATTCCATTCCTTTACGATCCCCAAGAAGAATGGGAACACTAGGGCCATCTCGATCTAACATCTGTTGGACACTGGAGTGATAGAGATGGTGCCGAGACAGAGAGTTCGCTAGGAATTTAGTCCATCCCTTTACGATCACCAAGAAGAATGGGAACACTAGGGGCATCTCGGACTTGAAGTGGCTCAACAAACATGTGCAATCACAAAAGTTCAAGATGGAAATGTTGAGGTCCATTTATTTATTTTTTCCCTCCATACATGCAGGGGACTTCATGGTCTCCATAGACCTGGCGGAAGCCTATCCGCACATCCTGACAAGGGATAATCACAGGAAATTTCTAAGGTTCACATATCACAGCAAACATTTCCAATATTGAGCCTCGCCCTCTGGACTCAAGTCCTCGCCTCAGATATTCTCCAAGGTCCTGGGGACACTAGTGGCCTTCCTAAGTCTGAGAGGAGTGGTCCTGTTTTCCTTACTTGGAAGACGTTTTGATCCAGGCAGAGTCCAGTCACCAGGTGAGCCTACACTTGGACTTTATAATCCAAGTATTTAGTGTTTAGTCATGCTGGCCACATGACCATGGAAATGTCTTCGGACAGCGCTGGCTCTTCGGCTTTGAAACTGAGATGAGCACCGCAACCCTAGAGTCGGTTTGGCTGGCTTTTGAGCAAGGGAACCTTTACCTTTACCTTACTACAGGGACATGGTTGTGCTATTAACAGGGAGAAGAGGACCCTGGAGCCAACTCAAGTAATTACACACTTGGGAGTGTGGATAGACACAAGACAGGACAGGGTTCTTCTGCTCCAGGAGCGGTTAGTAAAATTTCTCACTTATCTTTCATCAGGTCCTGAACATTTAGACACGAGGTGATGACTTTAGTATGTCTCCTGGGCATGATGGTGTCGTGCCAAGATCTACTACCGTGGCATACAGTTCATATGTATTTCTTTATTCCTTTATTCTTTATTCACTACCAGAAGGAAATAGACTACAAGATAGTCAAGAAGGTAGAGTTACCACAGTCTGTGTGGACAGAGTTACAGTAGTGGCTAGTTCCAACTCTGTTCACAGAAGGGATACTTCTAAGTGAACCCCATGGGACACATGGTCAAGACACCTGGTCGAAGCCGGAAACACCCTGGAATTTGGGACCATAAAGTTGACCCTGGCTTGCCTGCAGACGCAACTGGTAGGCAGTCATGTTCTGATTCAAATGGATAACATGATGACGAAAGTCTATATTAACAGATAGGGAGACATGCAATCCCAACGGCTACACCGGGAAGCAATGCAAGTGATGCAATGGGCAGAGTAGCATGTGCTGTCCTTAAAGGCCACACATATGGCAGGAAGAGAAACATGTTAACAGAGGGACGCCTTCCAACAGATCAGCGAAAGATTTGGAAGGCAGAGGTGGATCCTTTCACGTAGAGACAGACCAAGTAAAATTAAAAAAAAGGTTTACGTCCAAAACTCACATGAAAGGGGCACTAGGAATGGACGCCCTGTTCCTAGCATGGCCAAGAACTCTACTCTATGCCTTGTCGCTCCTGACTCTAATTCCCAGAGTGGTACAGCAGGCGATAGATTAAAAAGCAGATGTGATTCTGATGGCACTCTTTTGCCCACAGAGGGCGTGGTTCCAGGACCTCATGAGCCTATCCAGACAAGATCTATGGCGGCTGCCTCTCAGACGGGACCTTCTATCTCAGGAGATGACCGTTCATCTGCAACTGGACATGCTACAACTCCCAGTGTGGAGGTTGAGAGGAGACAGTTAGCAGCTCTAGGATAGGAGACAGAGGTGGTTTCCACGCTCTTGGCGTCCAGAAAATCTTCTATGACCAAGATATATGACAGATCTTGACAAACATCTTCTAACTGGTGTGGAGAGCAGGGGTGGACCCGATGCAGGCACAGATGGGAAGGGCTTTTCTCCAACAGGGTCCGAGTAAAGGGTTGAGTACTAGTTCTCTAAGGTGACAGGTAATGGCCCTTTCCACGGTTGGAGGGGCTAGGAAAGGTAGGTTTTTTCCCATCACCCACACATATGGCGGTTTTTGAGGGGGGCCTCCCTCCTCAATCCACCACAGGTACACAGTTTCTCCGCATGGAATTTAAATGCATTGCAATGAGCACTATGCAAGTAGCCGTTTGAACCAATGGCATCATGTCCCATGAAAGATATTACTTTGAAAACAATTTCTTAGTGGGGATCACTTCAGCGCGTAGGTTTTTGGGGCTGAGAGCTTCGTTGGTACACACAGATTGATGTACCTTCTACAACGACAGGGTCCTCCTCAGACCAGCCCCAGCATTCATCCCCAAAGTTAACTCCTGGTTCCATAGATAGGAAGATATGGCACTTCCCTCCTTTTCTTCAAACCCTGGCCATGAGATGGTGACAGTCTGGCATCACCTAGACGTGCGTAGGGCTTTGAGTTTTCTATATGGACAGGACCAGGGGGTTGAGAAAGACTGAATCTTTGTTTGGGTATGTTAGTCAGTTGTCCCTGGGAATAGGGCCTTGCCGTCCCTAGAAGTCACTTGTAAGGACATGGAAATTTGTCCATTCCTTTACAAAGTACTATAGGATTGACAAACTAGCCTCGGCAGAAGCAGCATTTGACAGTAGAGTGCTCCTTCAGGCCCTGTAGGCACCGGAAGTTGTGTGACCCACCCAGGGGGAGCACTGCTTTTTTATGTCCCAGGAGTAAGGAGTCAAGGACTGCCCCACTCCTGGACCACCGGAGAATGGAAGATTTGTGTTCACTTACCATGAAGCTTCCTTCTCGATGGTCCAGAGTGGGGCAGTCCTACCCAACCTCTCTTGATGGACACGACTTCCGGTCCTTTAGGTTTTGCAGTGGTTCAGTTGTTCATGAATATGGTCTAACTGATTACGTGATGTGATGGACTGCTGCTGTTTGTTTGCTCTAATGGTTAAAATACAGGTTTGTATTTGGTTAAGCCCATGGCTGTGATAGTATTCCCCAGTTATCTGAGGGGGAAGGAGTTATTTTTTAAGTGCATTTACAGCAGCTCGGAAGTGGCTTTCAGTATGACTGGGGATCAGAGGATAAGCCCCTCCCCTCTGGGACCAAAGTTTGCCGGCCCTGCCTACGGAAGAGGGAGGTGCTTTCCAGGAGTAAGGAGTCAAGGACTGCCCCACTCTGGACCACCGAGAAGGAAGCTTCACAGTAAGTGAATACAAACCTTCCATTTTCTTATTGTGCTTACCAGAGGAGACGGAGTATTCCCTTAAGTTTTTAACATAAAGATTTAAAAGGATTATTTTGCCAGTGCCACAGAGCTGTCCTGGCATGCTCAGTGAGAGATGCACAGCTTTGCAGCCAACAATCTGTCCTTCGGCCATGAAAAGAGCCTTTTGATTCTCCTCCCCCCCCAAAAAAAAAACCCCTATTCATAAACATCCTTGCTTACCGGCTCCCGGCCATCCATTGCCTCCATCCACAGCCTTCGATCTTCTTCAGAAAGTGCTTGCATTGTAATTACTCCTGCCCTGCAGAGAGTAAAACAGAATGATGGAATGAATAATACACATAAAAAGATCAAATGGAGTCAAATTTGGCACAACTTACTACAATGTACCTTTTCATGATGCAAATGCAAGTTTGGGAATAACTGGCAGAGACATAACCTAACAGGGCCAAAGTGGGGCTTGGTTGAGAACATATTCTTGTCTCATTTGCATGCAGGTTACAGGTGGTAAAAAACAAGCTAAAGCAAGCATTCTAAGCAAATTTGACTGTCCTTTGCAAAAAGTACATCCTAAGTAAGATTGCTTACATATTGGCAATGCAACTGCACTTCAGGGCATAAGATAAATTTTGCAAATGTACAGCCAGTAGAAAGTTCCCATAGATAGATGGGATGATAGTAGTTCTGGCATAGTCTGATGCTTCACTCAGAACATTTTCCTCTACAGGAAAACAGTCCCCCATGTCATGTATGAACCATTCTGATTATCCCAAGATATGCATTCATACAAACAAATATAACGAGTGAACTGGTCAATTATGGATGCAACAGGGGGTTCTTCTGCCTGGAGAAGGAAAGTCAGTGGCCTGTATCCTACCATCCCCATGCATTCAAGTTATGCATATCTGGGAATAGCCAGGATGACAGATGTCATATACAAACTACTTCTATAAATTCACTTCCAAATTCCCACAAACTTGAATAGAGCAAGACTACTTTATAAGTTTTTAATTACACATTTGATTTATATCTAGATTTTCCAATAGCTACAAAAATCACATTGCATATTTTTATTTCTATCACAATTTTAACATTGCAACTCCTATACAGAGAGTTGGTTTAATCTCATAGTGCATATGCAGAAACTATTTAGGGGGTCAAAAACTATTTTAAAAGTCTGGCTTTGAAAGCAGCTAGAGCTAAAGCAGCAAAAAGTAATGCTGGAAAGTTAGGCCTGGTCCTTTATTTCCTTCAGAGATTCTCAGAAATTCTAAAAAAAAATTATTTTGCTGTGGCATGGCCTCATTCAAGGTTGATTCATAATATTCTCTTTTGCTTCTGAAATAACATACGTGCAACACTATTTTCTATTTCCACGTCATATGTTTCTATGATCAGAATTGTGTGATTAACTGCACTGAAAAAAACAACACAGATGGCAATGCTAGAGTATGTCAGTTACAGCAACTCCCAGATTTTCAAGAGATAACTAAGCATTTTAAAGTCACAGACCTGAAGTTACAGATGTGAGATTATAATCGTCACACAATTACCATGTTGGTGTGGGCAGACTTTATATGATTTATAGCAGAGGCAGTATGACCTACTTAGAACTTGACACAAGGACTAGCCTTTAGAACAGTAACAATTATCTAGTGATTAAGGCCCCAAATTATGACATATCAGGGCTTATGTGGTAACTTTACATTAAAGGGAAATAAGGTTTATATTTAAGAAAGTTCTATTTATAGCATCTTCTTAAGATTTATCCATTTCTACCCCAGGGCTCATAGCCACACCAGCTTTGCTGTAACACAGATCAAAGGTCATTTCTAACATTCCTTTCCATAAATACACTCTAAATAGCACATGTAGAAAAGTTAGCCAACATACATGACTTTATAAACATTGATGTCACACACCCTGCATGTGCTTCAGCTAGCCAGAAAGTCCATGAATACTTCAGAAACCTTACCAACTCTACATACCAGTGGCACACTATTAAAAGCCATTCATTACAGCCATCACCAGAAGTATGACAGATTCTGCAACTTGATGGTTCAGGTCATGTAACCTCATTTCAATTTTGGTTCTCTGTCGTGATAAATGAACTTTCGAGTCTTTACTTTGCACCAGTTTGATTCCTCACATCACATTTTCCAAATAAAATGTACACCTTTTTTCCGTGTCATTTGTGCGTGTAAAAGTAGTGTAAAAATGACACACACAAAAAGGGTGCAAAAAATGAAAGGATCATCAACATCCATAAAGAAAATAAAGCAGACCAAAAGTAACAACATATAAAATAAAAGAGAAATGAAAGTGGCCATACTAATTCATTCCTAAACTGGCAGCCAAAGGAAGACAATCTGACAGGAAGGGCAAATGTGAAAAGTAATGGTAGCTGTTCTCTTGCCATGGTCACCTAAGGTTTATTTAATAACAGCAGCAACTAAGTAATGACTCAGTGATCACTATTCAGTCCAGGTTATGGATAGAGAAAGCCTTAATTACCCTTGCTGACAACCTAAAATGAGAGAAACATAGGATGGGGTGCAGTGGTTAGAGTGCAGTTGACCTGAGATATATATGTTCAAGTCCCCACTACGCCACAGAAACTGCCCGGTGACTTGGGCAAGACATTCTCTTTCTCTCATCACAACCTACTTCACAGGGCTGTTGTGAGGATGCACACTACTGTGGGCTACTTTCTGGAAAAGCAGAATAAAAATGTACTCGATAGACAGAATAAGGGCAACCCTGTTAGCTATTTATGATCTCTCAGGAGTTTTCAATACTATTGACTTTCTTGACTGCCTTTCTGGGTTAGAGGCACCATATTACGGTGGCTCTGCTCCAAACTGGAGGGTAGGTTTTAGAAGGTGGTACTGGAAAAAACAGGTTGCTTATCTGTAACTGATGATCTTCGAGTGGTCATCTGTGCATTCACACCTATGGGATACAGTGAGCCTGTGCTGGATTGATCGGCATTGTAGCAAGCTCTTAACGGATTGTTGCGCCCAGACCTCGGGCATTCGCAGGAACCCCACCACGCATGCCCAGAGGGGTGGGTGCGGACATCCTGCCAGTTCCTCTGAACCGCCGCGAATCAACCCTTATGGAAAATGTTTAGAAGCTGACAGCAGTGGGGAAGGAGGGCGGGTGGTGTGAATGCACAGATGGCCACTCGAAGATCATCAGTTACAAGTAAGCAACCCGTTTATCTTCAATGTGGTCTCTGTGGGAGATTAGCGAGCAATGGCCTACCTGGAGGAAGGTGCTGGCAGGTCCTTACTGCGAGGCTGAGGATAAGATGTGACATCCCATGTTGGTACGAGAATTCTTATGGACGTCTAGGGTGTAGTGCCTTATGAACGTGTTAGGCGTAGCCCAAGTAGCGGCTCTGCAAATGTCCATTAGGGGAACTCCCTGGAGGAAGGCAGTGAGGCTGCAACAGCTCTGGTTGAATGAGCCCTGATAGGACCAGGCAATGGCTGCTTAGCAATAAGGTAGCAGAGGCGGATGAAACCTACAATCCACCTTGACAAATGCTGAGCCATGATGCGAGTCCCTAGCCTTGCTGGCGCATAGAAGACAAACAGTTGACAATCACGTCTCGTTGGACGGGTTCTGTGTAGGTAGAACAGAAGCGCATGTTTCGTATCCAAGGTGTGTAACAGCCTCTCCTCTGCGGATGTCGGTGCCAGAAAGAAATCCGGGAGGAAGACCTCTGCCTGTAGGTGAAATTCTGACACTACCTTTGGCAGGAACGAGATGTCAGGTACGAGGCGGACACCGTCTGGCAAAAAAGACAAGTAAGGAGTATCATGTCTGAAAGCCAGTATTTCTCCAACTCGCCTTGCTGAAGTGACAGCAACCAGAGAGGTTGTTTTCCAGGACAGGAATTTTATGTTGCAAGTTGCGAGTAGCTCAAAAGGTTTTCTGGTGAGTTGGCGAAGAACCGGGGAAGGTCCCAGGGGACGACAGGAGTTTTGATGGGAGGGTAAAGGTGCAACAGTCCCTTCAAAAAATGTTTAGAAAGTGGATGCAAGAACAGTGTGCATCCCTCAACTTGAACATGGTAGGCCGAAAGTGAGGCCAAATAAACCCTTAATGAGGAATGTGAAAGTCCTGAGTCAGC